ATGTCAAATTAATATATAATAAATAAATAAAATTGTAAATGCCTAATGTATTAAAATAGTTTGACATATTTTTCCCTTTTGTTTTTTATATTTGAAGTTGAAGTTTTTAGTTTGAAAACCGGTGGCCAAAATAAAAGAACGCTGCCGTCGCCTTCACGAGACTCTCACTTCAGTCCCGTCCCCCACCGCTTGGAAAAGCTCAAGCCAATGCCGAAAGCCAAAGCCAAAGCCGAAGCCGAAGCTGACACATTAAAGAGAAAAAAAAAAATGTCAGAATATTTGACTCAATCTTCATCAAAATAATTTTAAAATTTGAAATTTAATTTTCTAATTTTTTATTTTACAGCAAATATTTTGATAATCTTAAAATTTATCAATAACTCAAAATAAAAAAAAAACCTTTATTTTAAAATTTGATAAAAAATAAAATCATATATCAATTTGTTAAACCTGATCTAAAAGAAATATCCTGCTAAATAATTTTTTTTCAAGCTTCAAATTTATTTAAGATTTATTTGAAATAACTGTAATATTTTTTAAAATCAGTTCTATAGTTATTGTGGAGAAAACAACTTTCATTATTATGATTCTAAAAAGAAAATTTTTATTATAGAAATTTTAGTAAAATAGTAGAACTTATAAAAAAAAATACTATCAAGATAAAATTGTGATTACTATCTAAAAATTAAAGTAGTCAAAAAAATTATCCCAAACGGACCCTTAATTAGTTCAGGATTCATTCAATAAAATGCAAAATTTCAATTTAAATAAATTATGCAGAGATTGATCCTTATTTGAATGAACAAAAATAGCTTTTTTTTTTTTTTTTTTTTTGTAATAATTAATACATGTTTAAAAAAAAACTCCTCATGCAAAAATTTTCCCTTTTTTTAATTAAAAGATGCCTTCTTCTCTGGATCAGCGCTCATCCTGTCCCACCTGCAGCATCCAACCTTCTATCGACTTCGACTATTTAACTATTCTCTCCTCCTAACAGACCCATCCTTAATTCCATGCGTCTTCTATGAGATTCCCATACCTTCCCTTCTCCACTTAATTAATCACCCTCCGTCCTCTGACACCATAATGCAAGATCCCTACAACGGTAAAGTTCTCCTCGCCGCCGTCATTTGCTTATCCGTAGTCATCCTCTTCGTCATCCTCCTCCACCTCTACGGGCGCTGGCTTCTTCACCGCAGCCGCACCGCCCACACAAACAGTGTGCTTACTGACTTCCACCTCCGTCGCCGGAGCTCCGTCGATGAAACGGCGGCTGTTGCTGTATCTTCCAGAGATAGTGGGCTGGACTCGACGGCGGTGGCGGCGTTGCCGATATTCGTTTATGATGGGAAGGAGCAGAATGGGAAAATAGTGGACTGTGTGGTTTGTTTGAGTGTGATGGAGGAAGGGGAAAAGGGGAGAATTTTACCGAGATGTGGGCATGGGTTTCATGTTCGCTGTATTGATGTGTGGCTGATGGGGAATTCTACTTGTCCGATTTGTCGGGCGCCAGCGGTGGAGGAGGAGGATTGTGAGGTGGTGGTGGTGGTGGAGAGTAATGATGGGGTTGGGGAGGTGAGTGAGGTGGCGGTGGTGGAGATGGAAGATGTTGAGAAAGAAGAGTCTTCTTCTTCTTCTACTACTACTACTATGGTTGGTGGTTCTCTGAAGAGAATGTTGAGCAGAAGTAGATCGGATAAGAGAGTTTTCCCCTCTGTTCTTGAGAATTAGAGTTTTTTATTTATTTGTAAATGTGTAATGAATTTATTTTTGGAAGATGGATTTTTGGATTGTGGAGGTTCATCTTAGCTAAAACTCTAATATTAATAGGAAATTTTGCTCGGCTTTTGATTCCATAACATTTAGTTTACCAGTTTCCTGTGCTTCGTACTAATGGGCCTTCTGCAGAAGACGAAAATGACCCTGTAGGCTGAGGCCACACCCATTGAGATGATCTAACGAAGCCTGGTAATGGCTGGCCCAACATTAGGTCTGACTTAGTTCATTTTTCAATTACCACATTTTGACACTATTGGGCCTTTATGGATCCAACTTCACAAAATGAGGAGATTTTGTTCTGATTTGCACAGTACGGCCTTAATTTTCATTCATTAAAAGGACTGTGAATGATTAATGAAGCCCAAAGGTAATAAGCTCAATTAAGCTCTTGTTCGTCTTAACTTCACATGAGTTATTTCAACTTTATTTATCCCTAGCTCACTAACAAAAAATCTAATTAGACCCATTTGACCGATTTCAAAGCAAAATTAGACCTCATGGCAGAACTCAAGTAGTTCATTGTATTAGGTTAGGCTCACCTAATTTGATCAAATATTACCTTTTTTTTTTCTCAACACTAACCTAAAATTATTTAACAACATATAAAGAGCTCACAAGCCTAACAAGCAATCAAAATCTATAATTGAATTCAAAGCATGTTAAAGAAACAATATGCATGTCAGAAATCAAATCATAGTAATAACATTCATTTGATCATTGAATAAGTACAGAAATTATAAAATTCACATGCAATAGTAGTAAAATCTATAAACAGTAAAATATTATGATACGAAAGTCATAAAAAAAAGTATGAGTGTCAAATCTATAAAGCAATTGTTATATCGTTAATATCAATCAGTATAGAAATTAGATAAAGCATCAAATCAAAACATCGGTAAAGACTATTGAGATTAAATCAATATAGTAAAATTATATCAGAATGTAAACATGTTATCCAGTTATTTTATATCAGTATTATCATACATTTTGTATCAATAAATCAATAACATTATTTATAATAAATTCATACATTAATATGAATAATGACTCAATAAGATTAATTTCAGCAGTCACATTAAATAAGTAATCAATCCTGATTATTATAATGTTTTTTTAGTATTGCATCAAAATCTGTAAACTGTTGCCTCAATAAACAGAGTCGTCGATCACTCTCTTTCCGTCGGCACAATAATCATCATTTTTATAACTCTCAATCAGTGTATCACGTGAATCAGTAGAGAAAAACACCTAATCACAATATTTAAATGAAAGCCCGTTAACCCACCATCTTATACAAGTCAATCAATTTAGCTCCAACTAATGAGTCAACCAGTCTTTACTTGTCCTTTACACACACATTATTATCATAGTAGCATAACATAAATAGTGACAATCTATTACTCAATCCAATCACATATCCACATTCATTTTCAATGAATTATAATAAATAAAGAATAATTTAGCTTTTTTTTGGAGAAGCTCACTCACATGCTTATGCGTTGAAATAAGGATAAGTTACAAGCGCTTAAGGGATCTAAAACTCACTACCGTTCAAAGAACATATAAGCAAAGTATAATAAAATATAAGAGCTAAAGATCCCACCTTCATACAAGAAAAAAAAATTATAAAAAAAGCTAGAGATAACAAGAACTTCCACCTACAACTAAATCACAAATTGAAGACATTAAAAAGTGAATCCTGCAAAAAAGATGAATAAACCTGCAAAACATATGAAAAGATAAAAACCATCCAACAATAGAAGCTATTTTTATCAAAAAAAAAGAAACAAACAATTAATGACAACCTCAACCAGGCAGGAGAACCAATGGAATTTGTAATAGAAACCAGTCTTTACTTGTCCTTTACACACACATTATTATCATAGTACTATAACATAAATAGTGACAATATATTACTCAATCCAATCACATATCCACATTCATTTTCAATGAATTATAATAAATAAAGAATAATTGAGCTTTTTTTTTTTTTTGGAGAAGCCCACTTACAGGTTTACGCGTTGAAATAAGGATAAGTTACAAGCCCTTAAGGGATCTAAAACTCACTATCGTTCAAAGAACATACAAGCAAAGTATAATAAAATATAAGAGCTAAAGATCACACCTTCATACAAGAAAAAAAATTTATAAAAAAGGCTAGAGATAACAAGAACTTCCACCTACAACTGAATCACAAATTGAAGACATTAAAAAGTGAATTCTGCAAAAAAGATGAATAAACCTGCAAAACATATGAAAAAACATAAAAACCATCCAGCAATAGAAGCTACTGTTATATATAAAAAAAAAGAAACAAACAATTAATGACAACCTCAACCAGGTAGGAGCACCAAAGGAATCCGTAATAGAAGCTGCATCTTTTGAAAAAATGGAACACCAATCATCATAAAAAGAGGAGACAAGCTGCTACTAGGACAAAATAAGTTAAATAATGAACACAATAGAAAAATTACTCACACAAAACATACACCAAAGGAAAGAGCAACAACACTCCAAAACGGAGAAAAACTTAAGGAACCCAATAAGCACAACATGTGAACATAAGGAAATGCAGTTGCATCCAAAAGAATTTTACCTTGGATGATTTTAATTGCATCCCCATATCTAAAACTCACAAAATCATTATACTTCTTCCTCATATTGGCCACATAAATGGCACAAAACCATTTGCCATTTTATCAATAAGAGAAATTCTATACTTAACCTTCTGCAGTAAAAGTAAAATCTTCTGTAGGATATAAAAATTTTGAGCATTAACTCCGTTTCCATCGTGAAAAAAAAAAGTATAATTGAGCTTAATTCAGAAAGTGTCAAAATGTTTTAACAATAAATAAAAAAAATAATACTGAGCAAAAATTCATATTATAGAATTTAACCAAATTACCAGATATTACATAAAATAATATTTTGAAGATTTAGTTGAACTAAATCACTATTTTTAGACATCAAAATAAAATTTTGAGTAGGAAAAAATTATTGCATTTTAAAATCACCTGTTGAAAATATTATTGTATTTTAAAATCACCTGTTGAAAAAAATTTTGTATTTTAAAATTTTGGGTAGGAAAAAATTATTATTTTAACCAAATCTCTTCTATTTTCTCTTTTATTTTCCTAAAGAGCTCTTTGTTGCCAAATCAATAGGGAGAAAGGATTTTAAAAATCTTTTAATAACTCTTAGTGACTTAGGATATTTTAATTAAAATAATAAATTAATATTATATAATTAAATTATTAAATATTTTAGTATAAAATTCATAAAAAATCATTTAAACTTTAAAAAATTATAAAACAATATCCATTAAATAAATAATTTTATTTAAAAAATATTAGTGAAATTGGTTTGCAAAACAAATACCTCTTACTCCCAAAATTATCACTTGTATTATTGAGAGGTGTTAATTTTTTAAGGATTTTCACTAGTGCCTAAAAATTTTAAAAAAATGTGCAAGTAAAATACTATAATAATAATGATATAAAAAAGACAATTTAAGATATATAGTTATATCGACTCCAGAAAAAAAAAAATTTATCTGGGCTAAAGTATGGGTTATTACATAATTACACTTAATGTTCATATGGGATGGCTACGACTTCTTATAAAGATGGTTGTAAAGCTATTATAAGGAAAGTAAGTTTTTTGAATGCTATTGTTTAAATAACCTTTGTAGTACATATATTTTTTAAAGTAACCAAAAAGAAAGTTGTCAAATAGAACCTATGATTATAGTCTGAAATGCAAAGTAAGAATGTTGTCTCAAACCAAACAAATTGAGTCCGAGCCTCACCAACTTTGCCCAATCACTTAATTAGCATTGTGGTTTATTCATTTCATATGAATCATACTAATTTGAATAATTAGCCCCATATAAGTCAAGTTGCATTACCAAACTAAGCCCAATCGAGTTAATCAATTTAAATTAAATAAGTAAGATTTATATTAACCATATATGTGGGGATTTTGAATTAAAGTTCTTGCATTATAAACAACACCCAACTCATCCCATATCCAATTAGTTTGGAAAATTTGTTCAATTGAGTCCACATATATAGATCAGTACCCATATCATTAGGGCACCTTAAAGTATCATAATATGTATCTATTAAGGCACATGATATATTAAGGCATCAAACAATGGTGTCACTTAGGTGGCCGTTGGCATAGGGTTAAGGGCATCTTTTTGTGACCTAAAAACTAAACTTTTATGACATATAATTCTGATGGCATAATCTTCTCAACGACACATATAAGGTGGTTTCCTAATATACCAGCTTTTCCAACATGTTTATATGATGGAATTTATTAATAAATATGACAAATATTATGTGTCATAATAGGTTAACTTTCCTAACGCATTTATTTGATGAAATATATTTAATAATAAGACACATTTAAGTTGCCCTAAGATATATGATTTCCCAACACTTGAATTTAATAAAATAATTTTAATAAAATGTCATTATTTTATACCTCAATATATGTTGTATCTAATATAAATTATATTCATTTATCAATTAATTAATTATGCTGACTCATAATATTTCATTTGCAAATAATTAATCTTCAATCAAATTTCTAAAGAATTTTACCTGATGCGGCCGTCCCGATTAGAGGAGGCGAACAAGAAGAAGCGATCAAGAAGAAGAGAACAAGAAGAACCCTAGAAAAAGAGAAAGAGGCAAACAGCGAACAACAAGAAGCGGGCACCGTAAGTGTAACTTATCTCACGATTTCATCCTCATGCCAAACCTCGGGCCAAATTGCTATTAATTAGCACAAAATAAAATATGCCTCAATAAATATTTGTTAAGGCACTTAAATAAAAGTGTCATAATATATATGCCTTTAAAAATAAATTTTTTTTGTAGTGTCACAATTTCATTTACCTCCCTAGTTAAGCCTACTACATTAATATATCAAAACTGCTAGTT